GGTCAGGAAAGCAGTCCAGAAAAGATGCAGGAGATTGCGAAAACGTCTGGAGGCCGTGGTTGAATCCAATGGTGATTTTATTAAATAAATTTACTCTTTGGTATTTCAAGATATTTTTGTGTAATTTTGGTAAATATATCCGTTAAAATGAGATATCAGTGTTCTCTTCATTTTTGAGTAATTTAGACAATTTATCCATCGCACCCTGTATATAGCAAAATGACCAGCAATACATTTTATCTGTAGTTGAATCTATAAAATTGTCTTCAAAATATGACAGTAAATTACCCATAGATGTTGATATGCCGCTAAACCAACCAGCCAAACAGAGCCCTCTTGTCGGTCTCATCTTTCAATCATAAAGAAAGGACAACAACGCTCTGGCCATGATGTTTCACCTATCCCCACCCAATTCCCGCTCAATTATCACTCAATTCCCGCTCAATTCCCACTGAATTCCCGCTCAATTCCCGCTCAATTCCCACTGAATTCCCGCTCAATTCCCACTGAATTCCCGCTCAATTCCCTCTCAATTCCCACGCAATTCCCTCTCAATTCCCACTCAATTCCTGCTCAATTGCCACTGAATTCCCGCTCAATTCCCTCTCAATTCCCACTCAATTCCCGCTCAATTCCCACTCAATTCCCACTCAATTCCCTCTCAATTCCCGCTCAATTCCCACTGAATTCCCGCTCAATTCCCGCTCAATTCCCACTGAATTCCCGCTCAATTCCCACTGAATTCCCGCTCAATTCCCACTGAATTCCCGCTCAATTCCCGCTCAATTCCCACTGAATTCCCGCTCAATTCCCACTCAATTCCCACTCAATTCCCTCTCAATTCCCGCTCAAGAAGTGCCAAATCATGTCAACTACTACGAAACATTTTCCATTTTCTGTTAAAACGCTTCCCAGATAAACTTATCTACTTGAGTAATTTTGAGATTTCCAATTCGTTTTTTCTGATTGTTTGTTTAGCGGCATATCAACACCTTATGAGTCATTTAATAACGAAAGTTAATTTTCTTGTGAGCATTAGTAATTTCTTTTACAAAAAATTATTATGACTACATTTTTAATATGAAAATATAGAGCTTGCATTTTTACTATAAAATTTTTTATACTTTCATAGTTTTTGACCCCAGCTTGGGGGTTCACTATTTGCCCCTAGCCTTGACCCTAACAGGTGCTACCACCCCGGGACAGGGTGGACCTAGAAACAACAGCAATTAAGAGGTGATTCCCTGCTCCTCAAAACCTCCAGTTTAGAGGCCTTGTTGCTGGATGTTTCGTCCTATCCAGGAGGGTTTTGTATTTTGGTCTTTTTCTTGTGCTGACAACATTCTGATCTCTTACAACTGATGGCTAGTCCTTTCTTCTTTCTTTCCTTTACTATGTTTACTATTACCACTGGACACCAATGAACAAACATTTTACGCTGTCTGTTATCTTTTCTCGCCTATTTTTTGCCATTTAATCAGATTGAGAGTACCACCTTTCTTGGACGTTTCTTTGATCCGTGTCTTGTTTTTCTCCACAGCATTATTCTTTTCATTAGTTTTCGCATCTTTCCAATTTGTTTTGGAGGAAGTTTGTTAATTTCCCAAGTTTTGCACCTGAACCTCATAGCTGGCAATATACATTCAGTATGCAATTTACATTATAAGAATATTGCCAAGGTGCTTTTCTCTATATATCGTCATATATATATATATATATATATATATATATATATATATATATATATATATATACTTGCAGTCCTCTCGATCATTGACGCGTTTATTCGAAGAATAAGTACGTAAAATTAGCCTTCCTCTCAACCTGTTATGGGACCTTACCCATAATAACATAATGGAGTATTCCATACGTAATAAATACTGCGCCTCAAGAGGAAGCAGAGAGTTCAGCCTGATGTCTGGAGTGAGGTCCGTCAGAAGTCCGTCAGGAGTCTGTCAGTCAGTCAGAGCGAGCGAGTCAGTCAGTCGAGTCAGAGGCAGTCCGAAACAGAGTCGCGTTCAGACAATTATTACAAGACATTGGAATAGTGATACTGGTCACGACTACATTGTTCTCCCTACTAAACCTGATTGTTCGTACTAACACTTTCTACTTCTCTGTATATATTCCTGTTTGTAATAGATTTGTGTTATTCCATATCCGTGTTCGAGTTCTTCTTTATTGGTTCTACCTTGGACCATCACCGCGGTACAAGGACCTGGACCATGAGAACAACAAAATCCTCTCTCGTCAACATAACACAACCTCAGTGTAGTTCAGGGGTGAAATCTTCGACTGATGACAAATCAGGCGGGTTTCGATCCCGGCTTGAGGCAATTGGATGTCTGTCTGTGGATGACAATATATACACCCCCCCGGAAAATTTAATTCCAATCGAGAACTCTTGGGAGAAAGCAGGAATTTGTAAACAATGACTACTACTGCTAATACTGCAAAACTCTTCCATGAATTGAGCTCTCTCTGTTATTGGCGTGTTCATTCGAAGAATAAGTACGTAAAAAACGGGCGCTGATAGCTCAGTAAAATGTCAGATTGATGCCAGATTAGTCGGGTTTCGATGCCGGCTTGAGGCAATCGGATGTCTAGCCACACTTATGAGCTGTGATACAGCGAAACGTTTGTGACTATATATATATATATATATATATATATATATATATATATATATGTGGATTTATAATAGTATCCGAAACAGAAGTGGAGACAAAAAAAGTTGATAAACGACGCATTTCACCGTCGTCTGATGGGTTGACTTCTTCAGATCGGAATGACATACAAAACTGTATTAAATTACCTTATCTGTTCCGACAACGAAAATGCTTTCTGATTTCAGTGGGCTGATTTAAAATACAGCAGACACCATAATATTATATATGCAGTGGACAGAATTATTCGTCCTCTCCACTGAATATTCATATATTTTCTAAGATTGCATGGAAGCGTCAAATTTACAATCATCATGCAGTGTTAGTAACTACCTATATATATATAAACGCTCAATCCTCTTCCATATAAATATAGAAATTTTAAACTATATATATATATATATATATATATATATATATATGTATGTGTGTGTGTGTAAAGGGTGAGAGAAAAGTAGATATTAGTATGTAGATATGGAAAGATTCAGAGAAATATAGGGAATCAGAGTGAGAAATAGAGATAGTGTTGGATGATTTCATTTGAAGAAAAAGATAAGATAGTGGATTGTAGGGATACAGAAGATGATTATCTCCCTTTACTGGAGATAATTCACGTGGGTCACATGACATTCGCTTAGTGATGTCACGACTTACAGTGACGAAAGCAGCAGTCAAATTCAGTTTTGTTTTCAGCAGGTAAACGGTAAGGTTGCTTTCTTTAGCCTAGGCCTCCATCCCATGGCCCGGGCAGAGGCAAAATTCGCCTCACGAGGAGTTTCATAGTCCATGGTACAGTTTCTCTTTAGGAATATATCCCAGATATAGAAAGAAACACCATCTCGCAGTCCTCGGTTTGGGAAAATCAAAGACGGTGTTACCCGTTTGTGGAATATGTCCTCGCCTGGGACATTGATGAATTCGGCTAATTTGAATCTGGAGTCCTAAACATGACTTCTCCAGATACAAGAGTATCTCCATATTATATCTAAGACTCTTCCTTTTGTTTCTTGTTCCACTCTGCCTTGCTATGTAGATATATGTGACATATTATTCTCTACGTGGGGCATGTCTATATGAATATATAGTTTTGTATGTCTTAATAATATAAGTCTTAATAATATAAAATTCTCTCTGAAAAGCATGTTTGTCATTCGTTTTCCTTTCAGGCATTCCCCTTACGTCCGTGGACTACAGTGTTATTATAATGCCCATGGCGGAGGAAAGTACAAAAGAGAGACAAAATCTTTCTCCCATATCTCTCCCGTTACAGGATAATGACTTGGAATTGTCAAACGGAGAACCGGGTTCCAATTCCAGGTGGATTTGTTATATTCACCTACATGAAAATACTCTTGAAAAAGGTAGGAATCCACCGCTACTCCAGCCCCAGATAAGGGTTAATTAATAAAACTTGTATCACTAAATCATTATTATCTACCCCTACCAAAAAGTCTTACAGTCTAAAAATATATTCTGGCTTTAAATAAGTTGATAAACCGTAGAAAGCAACTCAGTCCCGCAGATGGAACATATAACTAAAAAGGCTGTAGAATGGATCAGCCGAGATCTTCTGATAACACTGAAAAAAGACAAAAAAGAGAGAATGGTATCAGTAGCGAGAACAACACTTGGAGGGATGGTCTTTCTCACAATTATTGAATGAAAATTTCTCTTTCCTTGTTTACTGGGCAACTGAAGAAGGCTGAAGAATGGATCGGCAGAAATGCTACGATAATACAAAAAGCCAAACATTTTTTCCAGACTTAGCGAAATTAGAAAAGTTTCTTTAAACTTTTTCGGCTACAATTTATTTTTCATTTTTTTTTTTTAACTGTACATGCAACTAAAGACACGAATGGCGCTCCAAGACGTGGTTGTTAATTATTAAACAGACTATTTTCGTGAAGGCAGCATTTAAAACTACGTCTTTTCAATTCTTTGAGAAAAAACGCAATACTTACTAACTACATTATTAAACATGTATATATATATATATATATATATATATATATATATATATATATATATATATATTAGTACATCTACGTTTTATGAAAAAAAAATTTAGACTATGTTTTTTTTTAAATTCTTTGATGTAAATGAAGACTTAAAACAGACGATATTTTGCCCTGAAGGTATAACTCATATTTATTTGGTATAAGAAGCACACACACTTTTAAAGGATTTGCGTTAACTAATATCTACGAAAGACACACATATAATGAAAATTCTCCGCCAGACTGACTCCATAGATTTTAAATGAATGACCAAACATCAGAATTTCTTTTGGTATGGCTTCTTGGTCAAACCGGAAACATTTTCACCAAACTATAGAATATAAATTGTCTATCTCGGTCTGTTCATATCTATCTATCTATCTATCTATCTATCTATCTATCTATCTATATATATATATCAGTCTGTTCATATCTAACGTACTGAGTAAGACGTTAAACTACATCCGTGTCCTGGGTAAGACGATAAACTACATCCAGCAGCAAGTCCTCTGATCAGGAAGTTCTGAGGAGCGTGGAACCACCTCTTAATTGCTGGTGTTCCCAGGTCCACGCTGACCTGGTGTGGTAGCAACTGTTAGGGTCCCAGCTATGGGCAAATAGTTAACCAGCAATACTTTTTTGAAAAATATTACGAAAAACATATTTTTGACAAAACAAAATATTACCAGTAATAAAAAAAAATGTTGTCGGCATTAAATAATCCATTGAGGTTGATATGCCGTAAAACAAAATAAACCAAACTAAACCAAAGAATACATATTCTATTCATACGAATACATCCTAAAAATGTTGTCGGCATTAAATAATCCATTGAGGTTGATATGCCGTAAAACAAAATAAGCCAAACCAAACCTGTTCATATCGATGTATCCCAGCCTGTTCATATCTATCTATCGCAATCTGTTTATATCTATATCAGTCTGTTCATACCTATCTAGGTTTATTCATATCTATCTATCTATCTATCTATCTATCTATCTATCTATCTATCTCAGTTCATATCTCTCTCAGTCTGTTAATATCTATCTATCTATCTATCTATCTCAGTTCATATCTCTCTCAGTCTGTTAATATCTATCTATCTATCTATCTATCTATCTATCTATCTATCTATCTATCTATCTATCTATCTATCTATCTATCTATCTCTGTCTCTGGCTTTCTCTTTCTCTGTCTGTCTCTCTCTCTCTCTCTCTATATATATATATATATATATATACAGAGAGAGAGAGAGGGGGTAGGTATAATAAAAATATACATATACGCATATATATTTGCACGTACGTATAAATATATTTCTTCCTCAACTGTTATAAATACAGTGCTACTTAAAAGGCCTTAGGTATCAACCAGTGGTGAAATACAGCCAAAGCTATTGAATGGTTCAATAGCATAAAAAAGAAAGAAGATTGCACGTTTTTACAGTTCGATATCTGTGACTTCAACCCATTCATCACGGAAGATCTACTGATGGCCGCTTCTAATTTCGCAAACTTAAGAATTTGGATGATATGAATTATAAATAGTTAATTATAATATTGTAGTCCATAATAATTAAGCAAACAAGTCGTAAAACAGTTTTAAAACACAGTATGTCTATCTGTCTCAGTCTTTTCATGTCTATTTATCTATCTATCTCAGTCTGTTCATATCTATCTATTTATCTGTTGTGGCCTTGTTAGGGCCAGAAGTAAAGACACAAAGAGAGGAATTGAGTTAAACAAATATATTAACAGAAACAGTAATACAAACATATACAAACGAGAGTGTTACAACAAGAATGTTCAGTCCGACTGTCAGGGCTAATTGCTGGAAACATCCCTCTCCAAAAGGCAGTACCTGCTCCTATTTATAGTTGGGAGAGTGCATGTGTGAGTGGGTAAATTCCCATAACAGAAAGATTTGTCTATTTCTTCTCATCTTAGTTAGTGTTTAATAGCAGGACAAACTAAGCTCATTAGCTTTGGTTGATAACCAATCTAGGAGAAGGACAACTCTAAATTCAAAACTGGTTAGCAATTCCTCCACATTAAATAGCTACTTACTTCAGAAACCATAACAGTAATGAGAAAGTGACTGTAGATGAGATGCCAGAGCAGGGCCAACTACATTGCATATCCGCCTCTGGAGCCTATGAAGAACCCCGAGGCAAACAGAAGGGGCACCAGACCATATATGGCAACAATACTCCATGCAAGAGCGAATTGTTGATTTGTAGATCTTGCTTCCCAAATACGTAATTCTATATATTGTTGTAAACATAAGTGGGAATGTGGTTTTGAGTTCAAATTACAATCAAGGTCTTTGCTTGGAAAGTGTTGTGGCCTTGTTAGGGCCAGAAATAAAGACACAAAGAGAGGAATTGATTTAAACAAATATATTAACAGAAACAGTAATACAAACATATACAAATGAGAGTGTTACAGCAAGAATGTTCAGTCCGACTGTCAGGGCTGACTGCTGGAAACATCCCTCTCCTGTTTATAGCTGGGAAAATTTATGCGTGCGTGGGTAAATTACTATAACACGATCGCAGTTTGTTCATATCTCTCAATGTGTTCATATGTATCTTACTCTGTTCATACCTATATCTATATAAACAATATATATATATATATATATATATATATATATATATATATATATATAATTTATTCGAAAATTTTAACATAAATATGTTATAAAATCACTACAAAAATAGCCATTTTGTTTCAACACTTCTGGTGTCTTATCACGTGATGGTGTTGAGTGTAGAATAAAGAAACAATTGCAGTACCTTTAATAATGCTGTTATATGCATAATACACGAACAGAGGCGGGTGTTGTTCAGTTAAACTCGCAAGTATTGATGTCTTACTATTACGGATTTGTTCTAGACTAATTTAAGCATATCAATATTCAGAAAATAGCAATCACAGACCTACACATAATAAATATACATAAAAACTAGCATCGACCATTTAGTACTGGTTTCAAGAATGAGTCAGTTGACATTGGCTGATGCATAATACGCTCTCACTCTCATGACATCTAAAATTCCAAAGAGGACTTGCATAAGCATATTTGCAACATTGACACAACAGTATATTGCTTAACCGAATCTGATATCTTTCTTTCCATGAATATCTGTTTCCCTCAAATTAATTTTGTGCGTCTGCAAACTTAATGGCGACAGACTGTAATATTTATTGCTTGCAATCACTCCAGCACTCGAAGAAAGTTGACAATTTTTCTTTTCCTTATTTCAAGAATTATTCAGACCTCTTAGTTGTTTTCATACTGGCCAATGAGCCTATCTTAATTTGCGTCTTAGTGCTACTAGTTCCGTGTTTACCATGTTGATAGAACCTAGAATACGCCGACTATATTACCAACAAACGGATAAGATAAATTCCAAAAGGTGTCACGGACTAATTAAATACATTCAATCTCAATAATGGCTATTAGTCATCTATATTTGAGCAAATAAATGGTTACAGACTCAGTTAGAAACGGCCATTAATTACCTATCCTTGAACAAATAAATGCTTTCAACCTCAGTTTTAAGTAGGTATTATTTAGTTATCCCTGAACAAATAAATGCTTACAGACTCAAATATATACGACCAATATTTACTTATCCCGGAGCCAAGTAAATGATTTAAGCCTAAATTATAAACGGTTTATGATTAAACATTTCGGAACTAAGAAAAAGCTTAGCGACACAAATATAAATGGTCACTACTTACCTATCATTGAAACAAATAAATGCATATACTCAAATATAAACGATCAACATTTTCCTATCCCTAACAACGTGAATGGTCATATGTCCTAGTGGATAAAAGCGTTGGTTGAATCCAGTGACTTGACTCAATAAAAATTTGGAGAGTTCAATTAAAGGGAGATAACTGAGACACTCGGAAGGGGCATGGCACGAAATAAAGGGTTTGGTTCGAAATTCCAATCACCTGAAGATGGCCGAAGCGTACAACAGCCGAAACGTTGTGAATATGGCAACGAGGATGAGGATAACAGCCCAAACAATGTAGATATAGTAAGCAATACTTACCTGTCCCTAAACCAAATACATGCTCGGAGACTCAAATATAAGTGACTAACACTTCACTGTACCTAAACCAAGTAAATGCTTACAGATTCAAACATCAGTCAGTTATGTGCTTTGCACGATACACGCTTAGGCGATCATGTATCTTTCGATACATGACTGACGAGGCAGATTTTTTTACCGCAGTAGGTTGCCATTTTATGCGGTAGACCAGTTACCATCAAAGGCTATAGAACCCAGTCTGTCCTGCTGTTTACCCATAGATGGCGGGTGGAGGGAGAAGAGGATTTATACGTTTCCCGTGAGTATTAGCACGTAAGTGAATGGATTCGACTGGAATTCGAACTCGGCTCTCAGTCCGAGCCGCTATCCATTACTCCACCGTTCCTGAAACATAACGAACCAATATTTTCCTATCCTCGAACCAATTAAATGCTTGCAGTTTTAAATATAAACGATGAATGGTTTCATATCCCCGAACCAATTGAATGCTTGCAGTTTTAAATATAAACGATCAATAGTTTCATACCCACGAACCAAATAAATGCTTGCAGTTTTAAATATAAATGATCAATAGTTTCATATCCCCGAACCAATTGAATGCTTGCAGTTTTAAATATAAACGATCAATAGTTTCATATCCCCGAACCAAAGGAATGCTTGCAGTTTAAATATAAACGATCAATAGTTTCATATCCCCGAACCAAAGGAATGCTTGCAGTTTTAAATATAAACGATCAATAGTTTCATATCCCCGAACCAAATAAATGCTTGCAGTATTAAATATAAACGATTAATAGTTTCATATCCCCGAACCAATTAAATGCTTGCAGTTTTAAATATAAACGATTAATAGTTTCATATTCCCGAACCAAAGGAATGCTTACAGTTTTAAATATAAACGATCAATAGTTTCATATCCACGAACCAAATAAATGCTTGCAGTTTTAAATATAAACGATCAATAGTTTCATATCCCCGAACCAAATAAATGCTTGCAGTTTTAAATATAAACGATCAATAGTTTCATATCCCCGAACCAATTAAATGCTTGCAGTTTTAAATATAAACGATCAATAGTTTCATATCCCCGAACCAAATAAATGCTTGCAGTTTTAAATATAAACGATCAATAGTTTCATATCTCCGAACCAAATAAATGCTTGCAGTTTTAAATATAAACGATCAATAGTTTCATATCCCCGAACCAAAGGAATGCTTGCAGTTTTAAATATAAACGATCAATAGTTTCATATCCCCGAACTAAATAAATGCGCATAAACTCAAATATAATCGACTAACATTTCTCTCTTCCCAAATCAAGTAAATGCTTATAGACTCAAACATAATGGACCAGTATTTACTGATCCTAGAACCAAGTGAATGTTTGTAGATTCAAATATAAGAGATCGATATTTATCTATCACCGAAAACAATAAATGCTTATATCCTCAATTATAAAAGGCCAATAATTAACCCTATAGTGAACTAATTAAACGCCTAGATACTCAAATGACCATTACTTACCTATACTTGAACTAAGTAAATGCTAACAATATCAATATAATTGACCATTATTTACATATCTTAGATCCAAGTAAATGATAATATTCTCAAATATAAACGAGCTATATTTACCTGTCTACAAACAAACTAAATGCTTATAGACTCATTTATAAACAACCAAAATTTCTCTCTACCACAACCAAGTGTTTGAAGATTCAAGTATAAACCACCAATATTTCTCTATCCTCGAACCAAGGAAAATTCTTAGACTCAAATATAAAAAGATTTATTTCAACATTAAATAACCTAACAATAGTCGATATAGTGATTTTTTAAGCCTGGCTTAGATGTGACACAAGGTCGAAAGTATGGGGCACCCAGTGAGGATCGAACATACTACTCAATCGTAAGTGATCTAGCAAGACAAGGTTTCTAACCATTACACCACGTCGAGGTGCCCAAGCAATTGTCGATATATCCTAAAACTTACCATCTTATATGTGACAATGTTCGCTGTAGTTGCAGCAATGAGTTTAATATAAAAGAAACAATAGCTAATTAGATTATTATTTAAATATATGTTTTAAAACATTTCAAAGCCGTAAACAGTGATGAAGCCAAAATATCAGGGGTAGTAAACCATGTTTGAAGAGAAAGGATGGTAAATTCATCGTCAATATAAAGAATTCAAAATGGGTGCCTTTTCTATGGGGACTAGTTACGAATTCATGGAGATTCTGATGTATTATGGTGGATGTAGTAAGAATGATTTGTAAGAATGTGGTATTTTGGTGTTAGTAATATTATGGTATGTTTGGGTCAGTGGTTGTGGCTGGCTATGTTTAATTATAAGAGAGAAGATGACCTTCCTTTCACCATTCCCCCTTTTGACCTTCTGCCACATTTTGTATTTATTACTATGATACCCAGACTTATGAATTCAAGCGCGATTTAGATTGGCGACAAGTTCTCATAAGTCCTATCTTAACAGTTTCTTTTCTCGCACTTCTCGCTTGTGGAAATCCATGCTTTCCAGCCAACTTTGAACTTCAAAAATTTTAAAGCAATATCAATCATTATCGTCTTCTTAATTCGTGTTCTCTTAATGTTTTTATCATATTCTATAACAATCTGTAACTGCTTTCATCTTAGTGGCTTTATTATTTTGCTTGGGGTAAAATGATTAAAAATAAAGCACACCAGAATATACATTTGGAACTAAAAAAAAATGAAGAAAATAGAAGGTATTTTATTCTCCATTTCATTCTAAAAACCTTTCCCGTATAAGCATTGTATTTTGACTCTTGAATTCTCAGTGAGTTCAGTTGTAAGAATTTACAGGCGACCATATGCACGCGTCAGTCATGACCTCTGCTAAAACTAAAAGTGCTCTTGAAGCAATGTTGATGATGTTAGGATTACATAAATATGCAACTTAATTGTATCCGAAAGAGGAATTGGTAGATTGTTTTGAAGAATAGAAAGTCGGGCAGTATAAAATGTCAATACATCCGGTACTACAATTGCAGAACACTAAATAAATAATCCAATTGAGCCTCGTTTTTGCCATGAAAATTTTTCTCAATGCCCAGCAGACCACATTCGGTACACCTTTTGAAATGGCTATATCTAACCCTATATTTAAGTCTAAGCAACCATAAACAGAAGGAAAGGCTGTTGGGACTTAATGTAATCAGTCTCTAATTCATAGCGTTAATTCTCTGATAATATATTTTCTCTCACTTTGACTTTAGTCTTTATGCATATAAATGTTTTGTTCTTGATTGAGCTCTGAAAAGCGTGGAGAAAAAACGGGGCATTTGAATTTGGTGGGTTTTTTGTCTTCCTTTTTAATCGTTTCAACTCAAGCAAAACAATAAAAGACTCAAGGGATTACTGAGTGTTAAAGAATATGATTAAAAAATCTATTTAGAAGAGAGAACAACTAAAGAACGAGAATTACGAAGAAAGCAGATAATGGTTGAAACTGCATTTAAATTTTGGAAAAATCGAAATTGACTGAGAAGGCAAACAGTAGTAAGCCAGAAGTGAGATAGAAGAAACTGTTAGAATACAAATTACGGTTGCATTTAGTCATTTCTACTGTAAATAGATGAGATCTTGCCGCCATTCTAGTCTTGCGTTTAAATTGATAAGGTCTGGGTACCATAGAAGAAAGCTCATCAAAGAAATAACCAGAGACCTTAGGGTTCTTTTTTGTTATACTTTTCGATTAACCACTTTAAGATAATATTTTCTTTTCATCTTTCTCTTGCTCTGCTCTTCGTTTTAATAGATTTGTATATATTACTTGAATATATCAGGTCATCCCATAAGTTCTGTCCGAATTTTAACTTTTTGTTAAAATGAACAAAATTTAAAGAGTATTTTATAATGTCTAATGGAGCTGAACATTATTTTTATTTCAGAGAACAATAAAATTAAATTTTTTTTGATTAATCCCTGCTAACATGGAAGTACCCAAGAATCATTTCAGGCACATAATGCATTATGAGTTCAAGAAAGGAAACTTAGCAGCCGAAGCGGCTAGAAACATTCACTCAGTTTATGGAGTGGAATGTGTGAATGAAAGAACTTGCAGAAGATGGTTTGCAAAATTCAGAGGTGGAGATTTCACCCTTGAAGATGAAGATCGAACCGGACGTCCAGTTGAGTTTGATGAAAAGCTTCTTGAAGCAGCCCTTGAAGAAAATCCTGCTTTATCAGTTGAGGAATTGGCAGTGGTTCTCAGTTCATACCATACAACTGTTCATCGTCATATTCAACAATTTGGAAAAGTTCCTAAACTTGGAAAATGGGTGCCTCATGAATTGTCTGAAAACAACCTCAAATCCCGAGTTGACATCTGCTCTTCTCTCGATTCTCGCCAACTTGTTTCACCTTTTTTGGATAGACTTGTGACTGGCGATGAAAAATGGATCTTTTATCGAAATGTTAAGCATCGTAGACACTGGCTTGGTAAAGGGGAAGGACTCCAGCCACAGCCGAGAAGGGAACTTAATGGGCAAAAGTTTCTTCTTTCAATCTGGTGGGATCGCCAAGGAATAATCCACTTTGAATTCTTACCACCTAATGCAACAATTAATGCTCAAATATACTGTCAGCAATTAGAGCGTTTGAACCAAGTTATGAGGAAAAAAAGACCTGCTCTAGTGAATCGAAAAGGGGTGATGTTTCATCAGGACAATGCGTGACCCCACACAGCAAGAATCACGTCACAAAAGATCGAAGAACTTTGTTGGGAGAAAATTCCTCATCCACCTTATTCTCCCGATCTTTCTCCTTCAGACTACCATTTGTTTTGTAGCTTACAGAATCATTTGGAAGAAACAGCTTTTGTAACACAGGAAAAGGTTAAAACTGACATTCGTGAGTTCTTCGAATCAACGCCAAAAGAATTTTACAGTAATGGAATTAGTAAGCTTGTTAATAGATGGAAGGAAGTCATAGATAATCAGGGAAAATACATTGGTGATTGAATCTGTAATTAAATGTAACATTTGGTCATTTGTTTTCTTTATTCAAAATTCGGACAGAACTTATGGGATGACCTGATATAATTTCGAAATGCCCGTTTTTAAAACTATAATAAAATTTTTTACCGACGGATTGTTTTAAAATGGAAGTGATTCCAAGATAAAGGGCGTGATCTCAATAAAAATACATTGAAGTGAACTAAGGTACTATTACCATAAATTGGTTATTTGTTTATTAATAGTAAATATAATATCTATGTGTTAGTATGGCAAAATGATAAATTTGTGTCAGTGTGTGAGGGCGTCTAATGAGGATAGAACTCACAGTAAAGATTTGCCAGACTAGCTACTGAGTTATTCTGCTTTACTTAAGTTTTGGTTTACTTTAAAAGAAAACAAAATTTTTAAATTCCCCACCTTTTGTCTCCAGGCGTTCGTTCGTTGAAAGGAAAACCCTTTTGGACAATATTCCTGTTTTCATAAATCTGTAAGCTTTCAGTTCCATTTGTAGACCGTAACACATCTTATTCTATCCACAGAGATCGATATTACATTACGAAGAACAAAGTTGGTCCATCAGAAAAATCATTACGGTATGGTTACATCCAGAACGCGAGATCAGATTTGAGCCCAAACAAGGGGATGAGTGCACTTTTAAAGAAGCAGTCTGGTGTTGGCATTAACTCAAACCTGTTTGCATATTTTCTTTTTTTTTAATTTTATTTTGTCTGTCGATTTCAAGAGAGAGATAGTGTGTGTATTTTGTGTCGGTGATGGCGTGGGAGACAGAGAAGTAATTTCTGTCTTTTCGAATACTGGGTCGCCGCAAATTCGAAGAATTCTAGCAGTTCATGAGACGTTGCTGTCTTAATTTCTTCGAGTCTGTGTTCTTCAGGTCTCAGGAACGGAGAATATCGAGTCAGTGGAGGAAGAAATTGCAGGGGGGGCATAGAAAATCCATCATCAAGCTGAAATCACTGGCTAAGACTACGTTCTAAACCTCTATATCTGCACTCAACAATTAAGCTGTCTCAAATTGGACTTATTTTTCGATCGAACTATCTCGTTAAGAAACTGACTGCATCTATCTATCTATCTATCTATCTATCTATCTCAGTCTTTTCATATCTATATACCTATCTATCTACCTATCTATTTCAGTCTTGTTATATCTATCTGTCTTTTCATATCTATCTATCTATCTATCTATCTATCTATCTATCTATCTATCTATCTATCCCAGTCTTTGTTCAGTCTTTGTTCAAATCTCAATGTCAACCATTCCACATCTATCTATCTATCTATCTATCTATCTATCTATCTATCTATCTATCTATCTCATTCTCTATCTATCTCATTCTCTATCTATCTATCTATCTATCTATCTATCTATCTATCCCAGTCTTTGTTCAAATCTCAATGTCAACCATTCCACATCTATCTATCTATCTATCTATCTATCTATCTATCTATCTATCTATCTATCTATCTATCTATCCCAGTCTTTGTTCAGTCTTTGTTCAAATCTCAATGTCAACCATTCCATATCTATCTATCTATCTATCTATCTATCTATCTATCTATCTATCTATCTCATTCTCTATCTATCTCATTCTCTATCTATCTATCTATCTATCTATCTATCTATCCCAGTCTTTGTTCAAATCTCAATGTCAACCATTCCATCTATCTATCTATCTATCTATCTATCTATCTATCTATCTATCTATCTATCTATCTATCCCAGTCTTTGTTCAGTCTTTGTTCAAATCTCAATGTCAACCATTCCATCTATCTATCTATCTATCTATCCCTATCTTTCTATCTATCTATCTCATTCTCTATCTATCTCATTCTCTATCTATCTATCATCTATCTATCTATCTATCTATCTATCCCAGTCTTTTGTTCAAATCTCATGTCAACCATTCCATCCATCTATCTATCTATCTATCTATCTATCTATCTATCTATCTATCTCATTCTCTATCTATCTATCTATCTATCTATCTATCTATCTATCTATCTCATTCTCTATCTCATTCTCTATCTATCTATCTATCTATCTATCTATCTATCTATCTATCTATCTATCTATCCCAGTCTTTGTTCAGTCTTTGTTCAAATCTCAATGTCAACCATTCCACATCTATCTATCTATCTATCTATCTATCTATCTATCTATCTATCTATCTATCTATCTATCTCATTCTCATCATCTATCTCATTCTCTATCTATCTATCTATCTATCTCATTCTCTATCTCTATCTATCTATCTATCTATTCATCTATCTATCTATCTATCTATCTATCTATCTATCTATCCCAGTCTTTGTTCAGTCTTTGTTCAAATCTCAATGTCAACCATTCCACATCTATCTATCTATCTATCTATCTATCTATCTATCTATCTATCTATCTATCTTTATTTTATTGGGTTGCAAAAAAATAATGACGTAATAATGTCGTTTTTATGTATTTTTTAACGTCAAAAACGACATTATTACGTCATTATTTTTGCACCAACATAATACTTCAAGTATTTAAATTACCATGCAATGTTCTTTCAGTGGTCTATGAAAACTAGTTAAATGTATAGCAATTGGTATTATTAGATGAACGAATATTGCGCTATGGACTGCTTGAAGAAAAAAAACTATAAATTTATCCAGTGGTATTTGAGCATGCGCAACGTTTGGCTGTCATTGTCCAAATGGCAAACCAATATAAGTACATATATATACTCCCTAACAATGACAGGAGCACGTGTCTGGCACAGGGCAAATGCTTTAAGAACAGTTCGTGTAGTAGATAATCATAGTAAATCTGATTTCAGTAAAATTAATTTTGAAAATTTTAAATAATTTATCTTTCAATGTTGTTTAATGACTCTAATAATCTTTCTGTGATCGAATAATAATGAAAACAATGGTTTGATTTGATTGATTCTTTTTCTAAAACTTATCAACTCCTTACAGGTCATTTAATACCAGAAAATATTTTTACATTCTAAGATATATCTTTGAGATACTAATGTTTTACTGATACAAGTCTTACTAATTAGCCCATAGCTGAGGAGGAGAAAATGTGGTTTCATACCTTTCTGTTGTGGAGTATTATCACAGTGGAGGCATGTATTTCTAATAAGTCGTCCTAAATTAGGTCCGACGTACAAAACGTTAGGAACTTGGAAAATAAGATTCAATGGCGCAGCAATCTAGTTGTGATGGTTGGTACTTCAAATGTCCGAATCTCGACTGACGCGCTCAACACCATTCTGCCAGACTTGCCACTGCTACTCCTACTTATTATCTATGGGAGAGTCCATTACAATAGAATAGGTACTATGGCATAACACTTTCACAAGAATATTGATGCATAAGTGAATATAAGAAAATACAAAGGGGGTTAGATCTCTGTTCTCCAATTAACAATTTCGAGCCATTATTCATTACACCACGATCATATCCAAGTTTAAGGCCCCGAGTATTCCCAAGCAGTCACCCATCTAGGTACTGAGCAGGCTCGACTTTTCTTAACTTCAGTGATCGTACGGCAATCAGCATTTCAACGTGATATGGCCGTAAGCCGAAAGGTTTAGCGATTCAATAGAAAGGTAGCATGACGGAAATTGAATTCAAATTTTAGCTCCAGTACTCAAGCAAAAAGCATGAATCTATTCTCCCTGATTCTTATAACTTCACACAATAAAAGCTTCATGAACCACTCTAGGTACAGTTGCCTAAGAAAAGTTTTTTAGCCAGGAGAAATAAACTACATCCAATTTCAAAATTTAATTATGTAATTCCAACTCAACATAAATAAACAGTATTTGGAACTAGTATAGAGTAGGTCCTCCATTTTGCTAGCTTTAGTGATTGTATTCGATTTTTCATGTATTTGATCAAGTTATCAACAATCGTCTGATTCATATTTTGCTACTTTAGCAATGTTTCTTTAAGAGTTGCCACTGACGTGATCTTGGTTGCACGCTCTCGAAGTTTTCGGTGAAGGTGCTTCCAAATGTGCTCTATTGGATCCAACTCAGGACTTTGGGCTAACCACAGCAGTGACATGATTCCTTACGATTCCTTCCAGGCCTTTGCTACTTTACTCGCATGACATGACGCTCCATCTTCTTGAAAAAGGGAGACATTCTTGTCAATCTGATTGATTTCAAATAGTGGGAATAGTCCTTTCTCTAATATTTGACAGTATTTTGGACAATCCAACCGCTCATAAACAAGAACCAGAACAGATTTTCCCACAAACCAGATAGCGCCCCACACCATGATATTTGCTCTCGAATTCTCTCGACCAGTCAATATACCTGTTCCTGTTAACTTCCGAAATCAAGGGCTTCTTTCTTACAACTCTTCTTTGATAGCCTGGAGAAATTTCTATGCTGTTGGCGACATCTTTGATGATTTCCATCTTCAGTGCCCTTTTCGTTCACTCAGACACGATGCTTGGTCTTCCTGAACGTCGTCCCACGCGACAATGGCCTTCTTCATTAAATTTCTTGACAATATTATTAACCGTTTGATGATTAACCTGGAAAAATCTAGCAATTTCTCTATTTGACTTGCCACACTGATGTCATCGTATTATTTGCCCTCATTGCAATTCACCAATTTCCTTACTTCCGCGAACTTTCATTGAAAAATATAAGTCAACTATCGCTCAAAGATGAGAGTAGCTTGATACTAAAACGGTATTGTCTGAAAAAAGAAGAGACGTTATTACGCAAGCCAAAATTGCTGTAATCAAGGGTGCCTAAAAACTTATCATAGCCCACTGTAGAGTATTACTACATCAGGTTGTTGTGAGGACGTACAAAGCGAAAGCAGGAGGTGCACATTATACGGGTATTTAGGATAGATAGATCTGTTTATTCCATACTTGAAGAGGTTGTAATGATAGTGAATGGGGAAGCATCCCATCGGGTGTCTTATTTTCACAATGCATCAGTTCTGTGTAAGAAGCACTCCTTACCAATGGAATGTGAAGATGATGATGATGACGATGTTGATTCAATGTATGGGGCATGGCGATTTCTAGGTCTGGACTGGTGAAACCAAGGAATGTCCCCCGAACATTTGCTGTGAAAATAGCCAGTGGCGAGATGTTAACAACGTTTCGTCTGTGGGAAGGGGATAGCAGGGTAAAAAAAAACACTGTCGATGGCATACTATGATGACAGTGAAGAATATAGTTTCCTGGCCGCTTGGCCAAATCACTCTTTATCACAAGCAGATATAACAACAAAACGCTGTTACACACCTTCCCAACCTTTATAGGCACGCAAATAATTCCGTTCTTAACAGGATAGAATTCTTCCTGTCCATATCTTTAAATTAGTAGAAAAGAAATTCAAAGAAATATTGATAAAGCGAAAAAAAAAAAAGCTAGTAATTTGATTGCTTCATCTTCAAGGAATAAGAACTTCTCAAGAACATTTTTTGGTGATGGGGGGGGGATTCACTTTCTTCAAGATAATCTTTGCGATCTGAATAAAGAATAAAGAATATATTTCTTCAGAAAAAAACTTTTCAAGATAATTTAGCTAACAGCTTCCCTCAGTCATTTTGTCACATACCACCATACCGACAAACGAAAGAATAATTTCTTTTTTTTTTTTTTTTTATAAGTGGATGACTTCAGTCGTTAAAAGAATTCTTATTACTTCGGTCTATTCAATCTTTTGTACAGGCATTTAGTAGGCTTAGTCTGTCATCAGAGTGGAAACTGTGATCGACGACCTGAACTCAAATGCTGTAGTATTTCCTTTCGTAGTAATGCCACCGGGGAAGGTATGTTTCTGTCGCTTCTTCTCTCAGCTATAGGTTAAATAGTAGAGAAAACTAGACTCTTGGGTGGCAACAAGTGTAAGAGAATGAAAACTCCAAAACAGTGGAGATCGCCACGGGAAACCACTCCATTAACTTTCCCAAGAACGCATTATAATTCACATATAATAACGAGGGGGAATCTGTGGAGAGTCATGATCGCCTTCGTCTCCAAGAGTCATTATTTTATCTTTTATTTTTTGTTTTAGTGTAGCTCAAAACAACACTGGTTCTTGCCCGATCACCGAAGTTAAGCATGCTGGATAGATGGCATTGTTAATCGGAAAGTCGAGGTCCAATTCCAGTCGAGGTTCAATTCCAGCCGAGTAACTTAGATTCATTTACACGCAAATACCTCTGGGAAAGGTAAGAATCTCTCTCTTCACTCTGCGAGTTAATTACTAGGACTTGTATCAGTAAATCATTATCTTAAAAAAATTCAGTCAATCTCAAATTATTTTCTGGCTTTAAATAACCGGAAAAGGTTGATGTCGTAAAAAACAAGTGAATCAATCAAGACACGTGTGGAGCATTCTAGAGTCGCTTTTTGAGCTATGGAAGACTGTTCTTAAATCTTACGTACATTGAAGGGTTCATGAATTTCTCATTTCTTTGTGTCTCTTCATTATTCTGAGCTATCTTCGTCTTTCTTTTAATTTCTCTTTTTTCTTTCTTTTAAATTCTTACCTTTCCAGAAACGTTTTCGTTCTTTCTTTCTTTCTTTCTTTCTTTCTTTCTTTCTTTTCCACAAACGCCCTTCTTTTTTTCTTTTAAATTCTTTCTTTTCCAGAAACTTCTTTCTTTCTTTCTTTATTTTTTCTTTCTTACATTCTTTCTTTCTTTCTTTCTTTTCCAGAAATTTCTTTTCTTTCTTTCTTTTAAATTATTTATTTTCCAGAAACTTCTTTCTTTCTTTCTTTCTTTCTTTTCCAGAAACTTCTTTCTTTCTTTTAAATTAATTCTTTTCCAGGAAAGTCCTTCTTTCTTTTTTTCTTTTCCAGAAACTTCTTTCTTTCTTTAAATTTTTTTAAAGAAACTTTTCTTTCTTTCTTTCTTTCTTTCTTTCTTTCTTTCTTTCTTTCTTTCTTTCTTTCTTTCTTTCTTTTCCACAAACGCCCTTCTTTCTTTCTTTTAAATTCTTTCTTTTCCAGAAACTTCTTTCTTTATTTATTTATTTTTTCTTTCTTACATTCTTTCTTTCTTTCTTTTTCCAGAAATTTCTTTTCTTTCTTTCTTTTAAATTCTTTCTTTTCCAGAAACTTTTTTTCTTTTCTTTCTTTTCTTTCTTTCTTTTTTTTTCTTTCTTTCTTTCTTTCTTTCTTTTTTTTTCTTTCTTTCTTTCTTTCATTCTTTTCCAGAAACTTCTTTCTTTCTTTATTTATTTTTTCTTTCTTACATTCTTTCTTTCTTTCTTTTCCAGAAATTTCTTTTCTTTCTTTCTTTTAAATTCTTTCTTTTCCAGAAACTTCTTTCTTTCTTTCTTTCTTTCTTTCTTTCTTTCTTTCTTTCTTTTAAATTCTCTCTTTTCCAGAAACTTCTTTCTTTCTTTTAATTCTTTTTTCTTTTGCAGAAAGTTCTTTCACTCGATGTAGAGAGCTACGTTTGGATGCCATCTGTGTATATAGGAGTGGAAGATAACGATAAACCATAGCGTTGAAAAGGTTAACATTATACTGATCGGGGAAACATCGAGTGGGGAGTCGGCTGTACAGAGAAGTAGTTCGCGGGATGGAGCTGGGCATGTGGAACTTTCTTCTCACTGATGGAATACAGTGAGAATATGGGTGGGTTTGCTACTATGTAAGTGGCATGGCGTCTTCTTGCTGTAAAAGTTTCACTTGGTGGGGCCAGGGAATGTATTTCAATCGAGCACTTTCCGTGGAAGTAGTGGTATAGCAGCCATAGGCCTGACACATCGCGCATGTGGGAGAGAGGTTGAAAGGTGGAGAATAATTCGTCACCCACAAGGGCTTGGTGACATTTTGATCTCTATTGAGCTCCCTCCCAAATATGATAACAGAATTCTGTTTTTGATCTGATCTGGCTCTTGTAAAGGTAGGAAATAGTAGGGAATGTAGGGTATTGGAGTGGTACAGAGAGCCGGTCATATTAGCTGCATCTTTGCAATGGATCGTATGTACGAGTTCCACTTGAGGTCGGGCGTGAGTTTGAGGCCTAACAGTCTTAGTACTTCCTCAAGAGAACCCCCGTTCATCAATATTACTTTTAGTTTGGGTCCAGATTGTTGGAATCTTTGGGTACCCTGGTGTACTAGTGAGCCAGCCAAAATGAGCTGACTCATTTTATAGTTCACCAATAGAAGGGTTAACCAATCAGAAGGCTCAAAATATTCAATGCGACGTGTACAAAGGCAGCCATGTTTTTTCCCGAATATGCACTGCCAGCCTTTGATATCGAAGACTGAAGAAGTACAGAACAGCTGCTGGTGGTATTGGCGATATAATCAGATTCACTAGAGTGTCTGACTTGTGAGTGTTAATCTTTAACGTTGTTTCATTGAACAGATTACGTACTACGCTGTATTCTATATTCATAGACTATGGTGAACATGGTTAACACAGATCGGGGATGATGGAATGTAACTAGCTTGGTCGTCGAGGCATTGAATGTAACCAGCCAGTTTTTACTCCATTGGGTAGTTTGTGCAAGATCGAAAGAGAGATCAGTCGCCAATCTCTGACCATCAAGAGTATTGGCAAAAATGCTTACAAATGGTCTGAGTATATTCTTAGGCAGATCAGTTGATTCAAGGAGTGACCCTTGGAGGACGCGACCGCTAGAACTTCGGAAGACTGACCAATCAATAACTACATATTAGGAAGGATTTTATGATCGAAAAGGCCCATCCAGCTTTTTGAAGGCATTTGAGATATCTAGCGATATGGTAATCGAGGTGCGTTTGTCTTTAAGAGCCTCACTGATTCTGTGAGTGATGGTAGTTAAGACATCAGCAGTGGATCGGGTCGATCGAAACCCATACTGCTCGTCGCTGAAGAGGTTGTTCTTTTCTAGGTGCCTTCCAATTGATTATTGACTCAAAAAGCGTACTGATGAAACTCAGGAGACTAATGGATCTGTAATGGGAGGAGGAAGATCGCACACCCGCATTCTTGAAAACTGGGTATACACTTGACCCTTTCTACAGGCTTAGGAAGGATTTTACTTCCAAGCAGCGGTTGAATAACTTTGCTAGGATTGGGAATAATCCCCGCTTTGTATCGTTAAGGACAACCACTGGAATTTTGTCTGGACTAGTGGCTTGCTTCGCGTCAGGGCCTTTGCTAAGTCTAGAGGCTTCATGTGATGCGATGGTAATATTACTGAGATTTTGCTCAGTCAGAAGTGGGACATTAGGGAAGGGATGGTATAAAATTCTCCATTCCAGAATGGATCCAATCAGTGACAAGGTCATCAGTTTTGGAGGCAGCATGCTTGAAAAAGATTGGGAGGGAAGCTGTAGGATCGAAAGCTGTCCCAGTCTGCCCTCGCATAGCGAAAAAACGTTTTATGGAACGGTGCATTAGGGGATGCCTTAGGTTCAGCATCAACCTGAACACTGACTAGGGAATGATCCGACGCGCCTAGTGGAGGTAAAAATTTTGCTAATCATTCATCAGGACAGCAGATTAAGAAGAGGTTAAAGCGGTTCGCCTGATGTCGCTTCGTGTCCGGGACACGGGTAGGTTCTCTGATCATCTGGGTTCCTATATAGGTGATGGAGAAGTCTCGGCAATATCCGCCTTCAACATCTGTTTTGTTGGAGTGAACGAGCCATTCTTTATGGTGGATATTGAAGTCAGATCGATTAGAGCAATGACGAATGTGGTACTACGGATACGTGCTAAGCGAAAGCACATATATGGGAGATCGGATTCCTCGTTTTTTGCGTCCCTGCCACAGTGAAACTCGCCCTTGATGTAGACTCCGTGCCTGTGACGATTTAGGTAGCCATGTTTGGCTATAAGAAGAGAGTAGCCCAGGACTGTCAGTTTCACTAATGCACTGAAGCGTTGATATCAGTTTTAGAAAGCAACAAGAGGTTTGGTTTAGACTGAAGAGGATGGTGTTCCACTTGTGGAAAGTTGGAACGTAGACCCCTCAAATTTGTGTAGGGGTTTACTTTGTCTTTTTTTTTAGGTTGGTTTTGCTAGTTTTGTATTTTGATTGGTTTCATGTATGCATTGGTTGGTGGAAGACTAGTAGGCAGAGAGACATACACACCTGCAGGTGTTGCATATATAAATAACTTGGAGAGAATCATCCAGAGATACAGCCATAGCAGTACCTTTCATTATGGCATAGAAAGGTCCCATTGGAGACTAATGCACAGTCCAAAAAACATTTACAAAATGGCAGTACTATAGCTCCGATATTATACACCTGCAGATAGGATAGCCTCCTTCGGAATTACTCAAAGGTTCGGAACCCTGGCTATCAAGTGGATAACGCCCAAACCCAGAAAAGGTCTACCTCCAGCACCCTTAATGAATGGACAACAAACCCAGAAAGGAAAATACATGCGTGAAGCTCAGAGTGGACATGTCTGCACAAAAGTCAAGGCAACAGAACTTGGGTAAGAAACATCGTACCGGTGCGTGAACGAAAGGCACCGAGACAAGCTCGCGCGTGTACTTGAAGACTAAGAGACCCATTGAGGGTGGAAACGAGACATGCACGGGGTTGCATGTGCATCCTCTACCCCCATTTGTATTAATATAATAGATGGTTACTCTCATGGGTCCTTAGTCATGCTAACACCTTCCACATCTTGTATTATTATTTCGTGTAATATACCTTCGTTATTTCTACTCTTGTGTTCATGTTGTTCTTCCTTGGTCCTAACCTGGACCATAACAGTTACAAGGGTGAGCAGACTGCAAAGGGCAAGTTATGTATTCAAGAGAAAAAAGTTCAGGCTTACAAGGGAGAAACATTATGGATCGGAGGAAGGGTTATAGTCAGGGTTTTTAACTATTTAACTATTTTAACTACTCTAGCTATAGTGTTTATCCACTTTTTGGGAAAGTGGACAGACTAACCGTCCAATAAACCACGATGAAAAGACTTCCATTAAATGTAAGAGCCTCAAGAATTAACAATAAATTAATGTGCGAGTAAATTATGCAGACGTTAACATACACACATATACACACATAGATAGATAGATAGATAGATAGATTATGAGAAATTGGAAAAACGTTTTTGTGACGCGTTACATCCGTTAGGATTTCTTCGGACTGGGTTTTGTTGATGTTGTCACGTCTACACATGCGCACGAAACGAGAGATCCTGGTAGTTTCAAAATTTTTGAAAAAATATTTTTTTTTTAAAAGAATTTTTTTTTTTGAAAGAAAATCTTTTGAAAGAATATTTTTTTTTAATCTAACCAAATTCATCTGCATTCTTTTACTTTTTCTCCCCATCACCTCTGTCCCTGACTAGCCCTAGAATGGTGAGATATTGTAAGAACCTTACTTTGGGTAAAAAGGAAAAGATAAGTTCTTTTTTATCTATGCGTTTTCTACCGATTGTGAAGTATTATATCTTTCGACTCGAAAACTGAAAGTAAAAAAAATAAATCTTAACGTCTTTTTTAAATTCACTCACTTTCTTTTTTCTTTCTTTTTTAGTCATGAGAAACGACAGCTTGGGAAAAATAAAATTTCATTATTTAAACGTACACAAATACACAAACACACATTTCTTTTTTACTGCTTTTGGATCTGATGAAGCTTTAAATGGCGAAATACATTATATATATATATATATATATATATATATATATATATTTTATATATATATATATATATATATATATATATATATATACAATATATATATATTAAGAAATGGACAAAGTATATAAATATATATATATATATTTTATATATATATATATATATATATATATATATATATATATATATATATATATATATATTAAGAAATGGACAAAGTCCGACAATTTATTTATTAAAGACATTTTTTATGTTTAACTTTCTTTTTTTTATAGATACAAGTATTTAAGTAAATGCTCTGTTTATAATAAACAGTATTAAATAACATTTACCGGCCTGAATGTCCGAGAAATTTTCATAGAGCAGTTATGAATGTACGAGATTCATGGAAGATTGAAGTTTATAAGCAGTAAATTCGACCTTGCCTACCGAATGCTCCTTTGTGGCCGAGACGGTAAGGCACGTTTTTTTTTCGGTTCCGTATAGGATGCAGGTTCGAATCCTGTCAAAGGACGAATATTTTCTATGAAAATTTCTCGGACATTCAGGCCGGTAAATGTTATTTAATACTGTTTATTATAAACAGAGCATTTACTTAAATACTTGTATCTATAAAAAAGAACGTTAAACATAAAAATGTCTTTAATATAATACAATATATATATATATATATATATATATATATATATTATATACGCACATATCTACTGTGGTAAATTATAAACAGAAATTTTTAAAATTATAAAAGAGAGAGCGAGAAAAAGAAAATTCTAGGAAGTAAATTCAATTCGCATAGTAAAGGGAATGGAAAAAACAGACATTCAGAAAAGTGATTAAAATTACAAACATACATAGATTTTCCGAGTGTAGCTTAGATGTGGCACAAGGCGATAGTATGGGGCACCCAGTGAGGATCGAACTCACTACCCAGTCGTAATTGTTATAGCGAAACCAGCTTGTTAACCATTACACCACCACGATCCATTAAGACAGGCGAAGTTTTCTGGTGAGTTGATTGAGCAAATATTACAGCAGGAATGACTTTGGTTACTCTGGTGGCTTTAGTGGAGGATTTCTTTCATTCTTTTTTCTTTCTTTCTTTTAAATTCATTCTTTACTAGAAACTTCTTTCTTCCTTTGATTTCTTCCTTTACCAAAAACTTTTTTCTTTACCAGAAATTTCATTCTTTCTTTCTTTGTTTTTTTTTTTTTGTTTGTTTTTTTTTTTTTCGAGCCCCTTTTTATTTACTTTAATTATGGGTTGGTGCAAAATAATGACGTAATAATGTCGTTTTTTGACGTTAAAAATACGTCAAAAACGACATTATTACGTCATTATTTTTGCACCAACCTAATATTAATGCTTATTTCATTTTTCTTTAAAAAAAAAAAAACAATATTCTTTCTGTTTCTGTCTTTTTTTTTTTTTCATTTCGTTTCTTTTTTTATTCGTTTTTCGTTTCCTCTTTGGAAATCCTTTTTCTTTGTCCCTTTTTATTTCACTTTTCTTTTTCGTAAGCATTTTTCTTTTCTTTTGTTTTTTAAGATCCTTGCTTTTTTTCTTTTTCTTCTGTTTTCAATTCCTTTCTTCATTCTTTTATTTTTTCGTTTTCCAAACTCTACTTTTTTCTGTCTTTCCGCTTTCCAGACCAACAAGTTTTTTTATTTTTATTTTTTTGTTTTCGATACTGTTTATTTTTCCATGACAAATGTTCTGACGAACTACATTCCTTCGCTCCACAAGCCCTGACCTTCATAGCTAAGATCCACTATGTCATTCAGACTGAAAAGAATTTAATTAGTAAAAGGAATTTCCATTCCGACAGTTTCTTACCAAGAGCCAATTCTTTGTATAACAAACTCCTGAGAGGGTGCTTCCCTAATTACTACTATCAACCTCTTTCAGTCTATCGTTAACCGATATATTTCCTGGATAATCTTTTAAACTGCGCTATTTAATTCCGCCTTTTACGTGCATCAGCAACAGTCAGTAACCCGCTACATTGAGTGGCTCAGGGGCTTTGTATTGAATGAATAATTATTTAAAAAATTTCTTTTTGTTTTCATTTCAAACTTAACAAATTTCCTTTTTTGATAGGATTTTTTGTTTGCTTCATTTTTTCGTTTAAGAATTATTTTGTTTTTGTTTTTTGTTCGTTTGTTATTTATTTTTTTTTCGTTTTCGCAAATCATTTTTTTTTCAATTCAAAATCATTATTCATTACTCTTTCATTTCCCATACTCTTTCTTTCTAGTTTTCTTGCTATCATTCTTTGTTTTTTTTGTTTATTTATTCCTTTTTCCTTATTTCAGTTTTCGAAAATCTATTTTTATTTTGTTTTCATTTTTATTTCAAAACGATTATCGATATTTTCCATTTTCGAAATCCTTTCATTCTTTCTTCCTTTCTATTTCCTTTTTTTTTTTTCCAAAAGTATTTTTCTTTCTCTTTTCATTTTCAACATTCTTTCTTTCTTTCTTTCTTTATTTCTTTCTTTCTTTCTTTCTTTCTTTCTTTCTTTCCGTTTACTAACGCTTTCTTTTTTTCTTTTTATTTGTCTATTATTTTAATTTCAAAATTATTTCTGTATTTTTTCCGTTTCGAAACTCTTTCTTTCTTTTTTCCGTTTTATTGTTTATTATTCATATTTCAAAACAATTTTTTGTATTTTTCCGTTTTCGAAATTCTTTTTTTCTTTCTTTCTTCTTACTTTCTTTCCGTTTACTAAACGCTTTCTTTTTATTTGTCTATTATTTTAATTTGAAAATTATTCCTGTATTTTTTCCGTTTCGAAACTCTATCTTCCTTTTTTTTCTTTCTTTTATCTTTCTTTTTTTCCGTTTTATTGTTTATTATTTGCATTTCAAAACAAATTTTTGTATTTTTCCGTTTTCGAAATTCTTTCTTTCTTTCTTTCTTTCTTTCTTTCTTTCTTTCTTTCTTTCCCAAAGAACTTTTTCGTATGAATCTCTATTCTTTTCAAAGGTTTTCTTTCTTTCATCTTCATATCATCGCTTACAACACCGGCGTCTTTTTATCAATCTTTTCCCGTTTTCATTTTCTTTTTTCTGAAATCTCTTTCTTCCTTTTAACACGATTCTTCATACGTTTTTCTTTCTTAATTTACACCTTCCATTATTTCTTTCCTTTCTTTATATTTCCAATAAATTCCCCAAGGAAATTGCTACCCACATTAACACTTACAACTCGGCGCTTTTTAACCAGCAGTAAAACTGAAATTTCTTCAGATTTGTTGGGAAATTATTATTTTCGTCAACTGCGACCGAGATTCAAAAGAATCTGTAATTTTAACTTCTATTTCAATCATTTCAAATTCTATTCATAAGATATTTTTGGCAAAACTTTTCAATTCCCACGAGAAATTTTCATCACCCATTCCGTCATCTTCAGACGTGACTCTCTCAAGTTGAAAATCTTAAATGCTGTTCTCATACAAGAGTTCTAGTGCCAGCGGCCTGATATATATTTTAAACTTTCTGTTTTGTTTGCTTGACTTACTTATACGTAACCCGAACGTTTATGATTGCCACTTTTAAATATTTTTGTTGTGGGACTTCGATATAGAAATTTCTTTTTATATATTTATTCAGATAGTGGGTGGAAAACCTATTGGAATTATTACGTCAATTGGCACGTATGATTTAAAAGTTAATGAATCGAGTTGAAAAAGAAGAAGATAAAAACAGAAGATGAAATTTAAATGAATAAGTTTTAAAAACTGTTACAAACTTCTTGAAAATTGAATGAAGAAGAAGAAAAAGAAGAATTTTAAATGAAGAATAAGAAAAAAAGAAACAGTTGCACAATTCTTAAATTTAAATAAAAAGATAAAATAAGAATAAGAAGCTTTTACAAATTTCTTGAATTTAAACGCAGAAGAAGAAGAAGAAAATTTAAATGAAGAAGAAGAAATTTACATGAAGAACAAGAAACTGTTACAAACTTTCTGAAATTTAAAAGCAGAAGAAAAAGAAGAAGAAAGAGAAATTTACATGAAGAAAAAGAATATGTGGCAAACTTCTTGAAATTAGAAGGCAAAAGAAGAATAGGAAGAAAAAGTAGAAGAAATTTACATGAAGAAGAAACTGTAACAAATGAAATTTAAATGTAAAAGAAGATGAAATTTAAATGAAAAGAAGAAATTTAAATTATGAAGAAGAAACTGTTGCAAACTTCTTGAAATTTAAATGCAGAAGAAGAAAAAGAAGAAGAAATTTAAATGAAGAAGAAGATGAAGAAACCGTTGCAAACTTTTTGAGATTTAAATGCCGAAGAAGAAAAAGAAGAAGTAATTAAAATGAAGACGATAAAGAAACTGTTGCAAACTATTTGAAATTTAAATGCAGAAGAAGAAGAAGAAGAAGAAGAAGAAGAAGAAGAGATGAAGAAGAAGAAGAAGAAGAAGAAATAAAAAATCTAGATGAAAAAATTAAAGAAGAAACTGTTGCAAACTTTTTGAAATTTAAATACAGAAGAAGAAATTTAACTGAAAAAGAAGATGACGAAACTGTTGCAAACTTGAAATTTGAATGCAGATGAAAAAGAAAAGGAAAAAAGAAATTTAATGAAGAAGAAGAAGAAACTGTTGCAATCTTCTTGAAATTTCAATGCAGAAGGAGAAAAAGATGAAGAAATTTAAATGACGAAGAAGAAGATGAAACTGTTGCAATCTTCTTGAAATTTCAATGCAGAAGAAGAAATGTAAATAAAGAAGAAGATGATAAAACTTGCAAACTTCTTGAAATTTAAATGTAGACGAGAAAAAGATAAAGAAATTTAAATGAAGATGAAATAAAAATGAAGAGGAAGAAATAGAAGAAATTTAAATGAAGATGAAGGAGAAACTGTTGCAAACTTAAATGCAGAAGGAGAGAAGAAAATAGAAAAATTTAAATGAAGATGAAGGAGAAAACTGTTGCAATTTTAAATGCAGAAGGAGAAAGAAATAGAAGAAATTTAAATGAAGATGAAGGAGAAACTGTTGCAATTTTAAATGCAGGAGGAGAGGAAGAAATAGAAGAAATTTAAATGAAGATGAAGGAGAAACTGTTGCAATTTTAAATGCAGAAGGAGAGGAAGAAATAGAAGAAATTTAAATGAAGATGAAGGAGAAACTGTTGCAATTTTAAATGCAGAAGGAGAGGAAGAAATAGAAGAAATTGAAGATGAAGATGAAGAAATTTAAATGAAGATGAAGGAGAAACTGTTGCAATTTTAAATGCAGGAGGAGAGGAAGAAATAGAAGAAATTTAAATGAAGATGAAGGAGAAACTGTTGCAATTTTAAATGCAGAAGGAGAGGAAGAAAAAATGAAGATGAAGGAGAAACTGTTGCAATTTTAAATTTACAGGAAGAAATAGAAGAAATTTAAATGAAGAAGAACTTTTGCAACGGTCCTGGCGTAAAATGTGAAAATATTTACAGTTCTATATATCAGAAAAATTGTAGGCAAATGAATGACAAAATAGAAAAACAGCATTTACATTAGTCGGACTATTGACTATATAGACAGACCCAAAATGGAAAAAGTACCTAAACACTAGAATATAAAACGAAATAGAACGATTATAATTATAGTAGTCGGGATATAATTTCATAACACGCAAGTCATTGTGTGTTATGAAATTTATTAAATTATATTCCGACCACTATAATTTGGAAAGCTGAAAAGAGGAAAAAAAGAAGGCTTTAAAACTTCAAAAATTCCCATAAAAAATAACAATGCAGTAATAGTCAACTTGTACCAGAAACTGAATACAAAATAAATTTACAAACTAGTGTGACTAATAACTGGTTTAAAAAATCATCTGTATTAAAACCTATCACTGGTGAACATAAAATGCACGAATCAAAACCTTTATCTGGCCTTAAATAACCCTATTTAAGCACCCACCCTAGTGGTTATCGGGTGGGGGTGGATTATACATCTCACACGAGAATGTAAGGTCCACATTCGGATGAGAGCCGCATATACACATTGGCCAACAGTAATTGATAACATGTAATGTAATGGAAATTAATTTGATTGTACCCCAAATATTATCAGAGAATGATGAATATGTAAAGTGATGCGGCTCCCTTTGTGAAAATTGTCATATCCTTGTTTGAACATTGTTTCTGTAAAATACAATATTATGGAAATCGATATTATCATGCCCTAATATTATAATCTGACGGAGAAGAGGATGTAAGAATGTTTGTAAAAAAACAACTCCTTTATGGAAATTAACATTTCTTCATTCCAAAATTATATTTAAAAAATAAAAAAAATATGAAAATTGATTTTATCCTTCCTCAAAACATTATCTGGGTTTTAAAAAACTGTTTTTAAGATTTATCAATCGTAGGTTATCTAAGTCCGAGACAAATTTTGGATTGTAAGTATAATTCTTTTTTTTTATTATTTATTTATTTTTTTTTCCTTAAATAAATATCGCGCTAACAATTTTTAACAATAACAATAATTTGTCCACATGCAAATCCTACTTGTGGGACGAAATGTATTTACGGAATTTAAATGTTGCCTGTTCGTGTCGTGTTTACGTGTGAGTGTTCATATATAAACAATCAAAGAAGCATGCACAAAATTGGGTTTCTAGTAAAGATCGCATATTCATTTTTTATAGAGAAACAAAGATCTCATTGTCTCTTGGCTACGCCTGTTTCCCTTTTCTGGTTCAGAAGTTAAATTAATGCTAATAATGATTAAATGGGTCGAGTTCATGTCAGCTGAGTTGCTTCGGTTTGATGTAGTTTTTGTTTTATGGCATATCAACCTCAATGGGTTATTTAATGCCGACAAGATTTTTACAATAGATTTGTATGAATAGAATATATATTCTTTGTAATAAATCAGTTTGTAGATCAGGTTTCATTGACGCATTTTTATAAATAGGGTCTGTCGAGAGTCAAATGTTTTGCTGGTATTTTACTATAAATATCTATTTTTATACTTTCATAGTGTTTGGGCCCCCGTTTAGGGGTTAACTAATTACCAGTAGCTGGGACCCTAACAGGTGCTATCACCTCGGGTCAAAGCGGACCTAGAACCAACAGCAGTTAAGAGGTGGTCCCTTCTTTCTCAAAACGTTCAGATCAGAGGCCTAGTTGCTGGATGCAGTTTATCGTCATAACCAGGTCGAGCGTTGAGTTGGAACGATGAAATTACTTCATCAGTGGGCTGCCCCCGAACTCTTGGCATTCTTTTCCAGAAATGGGTTCATACAATTGTGTAGATGGCCCCAAACCGTTTACTGCCCCTTTATTACTTGCATCATGGGAAAATGTATTTTGTTTATTCTTTTTTTTTTTGTTAATTCTTTATTATTATTTTATTCATCAACTTTATGTAATTTTCCCATAGCTTGCCCAAGGCTATTTGCGCATAAATAAAAGTAAAGAACGCGACTAGAATTCGAACTCGGCTCACCGAGTTCTCATTTCGAGACCATATCCATTGCACCACTCGCACATCCTGGTGGAAAAGATTATTTCCTTATTCTAACTTTATAAAAAAAAAATCGAAAAATAGAAATTGACTTTACTGTAC